CATGTGAAAATTGACCCCATGCCTGCAGATGACATCACTAAGCAGGAGCATGTAGATTGAAGAGGAGGGGACCGAGGACAGAGCCCATGACAGAGGGAGGGGGAGGTAGAGGAGAAGCAGTTGGTGGCCATGAAGTGCAGATGGTGGGAAAGGTAGAATTGGAACCAGGCAAGAACAGAACCATTGAAGCAGAGGAGAGAGGAAAGGTGATGGAGAAGAATAGAGTGGTCAACAGTAGGAAGGTTTGAAATGGGACAGTGATCAGCCGTCACCGTGATCGGCCGGGTGTCTGACCCACGTAGAAATCCATCACCGGGATCAGCCGGGTGCAGTTGAGGCAATAGCTTATCTATATGCTTCCTCTGAGCGATGTAAACTTCCACATGTATGTGGATGACACACAAATGTACTTTACCTCCTGCAGCACCAACTCCCCCAATGTTCTATCAGCTTGTCTGGCAAACATCAGGCCTGGAGGAGTGTAAACTTCCTGCAGCTGAATATGGGCAAGATGGAAGCCATAATAATAATCCTTGCATTTGATATAGCGCTTTTCACGTCGGGAAGACATCCCAAAGCGCTTCACAGAACACACTGTAAAGTGATTGTATATTTGTGGGCGAACGCGGCAGCCAATTGCGCACAGCAATGTCCCACAAACAGTTGTAGATTAAAATGACCAATTTATTATTGTTTTTGGTTTTGGAGGGATTATTATTAGGCTCTGTGTGGAGTAAGGAAACTTGCCCAAGGTTTCGCCTGGAATTGAACTCAGGTCTCTCGCTGAGTATGGAAGCCATACTCCTTGGCTCCGCCCAACGTCTTCACTGCTGCAGATCTGAACTTCCCAACCTTCCTGGGCTCTCCCTCACACTCACTGAACCCATGCGCAATCTAGGGGTTCAAACCCCAGCTGTCCTTCTTCCCCCACATCCGGTCCCTGACTAGCACCGCTTTCTTCCACCTCCGCCACATTGCCAGCCTCGGACCGTACCTTACCCCAAATGCAGCCGAAACCCTCGTGCATGTGCTGGTCACCTTCCACTTGGATTACTCCAACCCCTTCTCACCGGTCTCCAGCTCCACCGTTCACAAGATTAGCTCATTCAGACTCTGCCGCCCGCACACTGACCCTGACCAAACTCCGTCCCCACATTTCACCAGTTCTGGCCCAGGCTCTACTGGCTCCTCATCACCCAATGGATCGACTTCAAGATCCTCTCACTCTCGTGTTCAATTCCCTTCACTCCCTGACCCCTCCCTCCCTCCCCGGCCTCCTCACTCCCCAATCCACCACCTGGTCAGCGCCTCTGCTCGACTGGCACCGGCTCCTGCTCGTCCCTCGCACCCTCCATTCCACCATCGGAGGTCACGCTTTCAGCCACTACGCCCTGAAACTCTGGAACACTCTCCCCCAATCTCTCCACTTTGCCCTTCTTTCCCCTTTTTCATGTCCCACCTGAAAACCTTCCATTTCAACCATGCTTCCGCCCACCTTCCCCACCACTGTTAAGCGCTTTGAGACGCTACCCTGCGTGGAGGGCGCTATATAAGTGCAAGTTGCTATCTCAAATGCTTCACATATTATACTATAAAGCGTAGTGACTGTGAATTTTATGGGTGAATTGCAGTAGCGTATTCTGCACAGCAGTGTCCTACAAACAGTAGTGGATTCAGTGACCAAATTATTATTATTTAGTTTGAAGGGATTATTACCCCTGGAAAGGGATCCACCAATCGACTAACAAGCGGATTCCTACTTACTGCTGATAAACAGCCGTGTGTGTGACTCCACGTGTCTCTCGTCACTCCTTACCTTACTGAGGTCAGATCCTGTGAGTGTGGTACCGCACTCGGAGCTCGAGCTGCTGTCTGTGTGTTTGGGAGACCCTGGAGCTTGGCCGAGGCTGTGTTTGTGCCACGTGTTGACGTGTGAGGAGCTGTCGGTGTGTTTGCTGGGCGCTGGCCTGAGCTGGGGTCTGGGGGAGGCTGTATGTGGATCAGGGCTGACCTGCCCATGTTTCCTGGGAGGGAACCTGTGCTCTCTGCTCCCGCTGGGTGTCCGCCCGCCCGGCTTGTGCTGGTGGTAGCTTCGCTCCGATCCAGAGTAGGTGTCTACGTTAACCCCGCGTTGTGTGGACAGCATGTTGGAGACCGAGCAGCGGTCAGGACTGATGTTCCTCTGCTCGGCCACGTTCCTCCTCGCTCTCTGTTGGCCCTGGCTCTCGCTCCCCCAGCCCCTGCTGTCCAGGCTGTCCAGCGAGGGTCCCCCAGAGAGATCTCTGCTCCTCAGCCCTGACCCTCGACCGCACGTCAGACGCAACGAATCCAAGCTGGAGGGGCTCATCACCTGCAGAGTGATCTCATCCAGGAACCTCGAGAAGTTGAGTTTCTGTTGAACAAATGTGGCTTTCGCTTTGGCTGGGTTTGGGGTTGAGATTAAGGGTTGATAGTCCGGTTTCCTCGTGTTGGACGAGCGCTGGAAGCCGCCCAGCTGTTTGTGTGGAGAAGCCGCAGATCCTGGTTCAGCTCCCCTCACCGCGAGGACCTCCATGGATCTCGCTTTCCTCTTGAGGTCTGTCCTCGAGGTGGCCACATGCTTTAAGATGCCTTTGGTGGGTTTGGGGGCAGCCGAGCAGGAAGCCAGGACTTTGTGTCTCTGATTAACCCCCAAAACGCGCTCCAGGCTGGAGATCGCCGTCTCGCCGGCAAGGTCTTCGTGGTACAGCCGCCCTACACTCCTGCTGTGCCTCCGGTAGAGCCCTGAACATTTCCCCGTCTCCCGCAAATCCCTGACATCAGTGCAGGAACGCGAGAACTTGTTCATGTCCGCACAGTCCGGGCTGAGGAAGGTCTCGTTTCCGAAGCTCGCCTCCGAAGACCAGGAGGAGGAGGAGGAAGGTGAGGCAAAAGCAAGATTCCTTTCTTCCATCCACTTGCTGCCCCTCAGGTCCATCTCGCTGCTCGTGCCGTCCCTGTGTGACCTCCTCCCCTGCGGTACAGGGCTGAAAAACTTCTCCATTAACTCTAGCTTCCCAGCCGGAACATCCATCCCTCCCTCCCTCTCTCTCTCCCACTCCCCGGCCAAGCAAAAGTTCCTGCCAGATTCCAAGGAAAAGTGATGGCTCTGGTGTCTGTGTGGCTATTTATCAGATAGTCTCTCCATCGCCTCAATGAGAAACGTCACAAGCCATTAAATCACACTCATGCTTGTCACATCAGGAGCGTCGCCCTCTCTCGCTTTATCCCAATGTCAGATAATCAGATAATTAACTATTAATGGATTCCTGAAGCTTTGAGGATATTCATCAGCCGATATCCATCAGTGTGAGCAGTTCAGCCAAGCGTGACTAAGACACTCCCAGAGGCCACGGGCTGACAAGGCTTTACATGGACCTCCCAACCCCAGCCCCAACCACAGGACCAACCCCTGGATGTACCAGACAGTGGGTTAGTGAGGTCTACAGCGCCTTCAGGGCTCTGACCCCCACAGGAGTGAGTTAGGTGGTGACTTAGCTGAGGAGATGAATGGGGGAAATGAAGCTCACAGCCTGCTCCATTCTGGGCCAGAATTTGAGGGATTATTGATGTTGAATCTATCTCCGTAGCCTCATTGTGCCAAACGTCAAGTGACTGGAGCTGATCGACCCACTCACAAAAGCGGAGCAAGCAACCCTCCAACAGAGGAGAGAGACTGAGCCAGCCTGACACTCAATAATGTGACCAAACGTCCCACAGACGATGATTTGAACAGTCAAAACATTTGCTACAGAAATAGTCCTCGACACGGGAGACATTGCAGTTAGTTGGAGCTGTGAAATATCAGTCTCACTCTCAAATCAGATACACATGGGAGGGATCGGCACTGACTGACCTTGTGATAACTTTGCTGGAGGCAAAGTGAATCGATAAATCAGTCCCTGAGCCTTCATGCCTGACAGACTTGTCAGTTATACAGCGACATGTAATTACATTGTGATAAACACTGACTCCCAGCTCAATGTCAGCCAGCATGGCAATACTGCTCACTCCAAGCACTTGCTCCAAGGTGACATGTTTGGTAACGGAATGTTAGAATCAAGCCCCACCACCCCCCCACGACGGTCTCGTCCAGTTCCTGACCCTCCAGGAGTGTCCGCAGTATTCCAGGCACTCACTGCTGATGACGGCACAGCCCAGACTGGCTCATCAGCAGGACCTGGAAGTGCCGACCAATCACTGTGAATCCTCCCACTCAGCTCCTGTTAACCCTGAAGCCAAAGCTCTAACGGGTCGGGTGGTTCTAGCTGACCGAACAGCGGGAAAGCTTAGCCAGGCAGCACTGTCCCTCAATGGCCAAGCTATGTGTGGCTTTAGCTGGTTAAACTCCAGCAGTTACCCCAACACATACTCTGGGCTCCCCCCAAGCCTTGGCTCTTGCCAACCCGTGCCTTTGAATTAGTCCCTCCAGGGAGGGAGAGAGAGAGATAGAGAGAGCATTCTATTCCAACAATCTGTCTCTGGGACTTCCATGTGTAGGTGGGAGGCATGGAAATCTCAGTTTGGGTTAGAGACTTAAGCATAATGATGGGTTTCCACATATGTCAGACACCTGGCTAACAATATTGGAAGTTGAGATAAGAATAATCTTTCCATTTGATATAGTGCCTTATCAAGTTGTTGGGACGTCTCAAAGCGCTTCACAGGATATGAAAGTGGAGTGACTGTTTTGTGGGTAAAATGCGGAAGCCAATTGCGCACAACAGTGCCCTCAAATAGTCATGCATTGAGTGATCGTATTGTTATTTGGAGGGATTATTACCATCGGAACACGATCCACCAATCGACTAACAAGCAGGTTCTAGGTTATCAGAGGCATGTGTGTGGAGTAAGGAAACTTGCCTAAGATTTCGCCCAACCCGCCCGGGACTCAAACCCAGGTCCTCTTGCTTGCGAGGTGAGCACTCAAATCACTGAGCTACACTGTAAACACAGGACGTTCAGCAGGAGACAATGAGTTTCAGTATAAACAACAGCTAGTTAGTTTATTATTAACTTGATGATCAACACTTACAGTAACAGGTCACAGAGTCCCACAGGCTGGGCACAAGGGGAAGAGCAGACAGTGTCAGGTATAAAGCTCGCCCGCCCCCCAGTGCATAGTCCCCAAACATCACAACAAACAGTATTTACAGATAGAGCTGGGCACTGTCACTAACCTCTCACTATAGACTGTGGGCAGTCACTCACTATACATTGTATCCGTGGGCAGTCACTCACTATACACTGTGCCGGGCGGGGGCAGTCGTTGGCCGGGCTATTGTCCTGGGAGGAAATTCCTTCATGGAGGTTCACAGGTTAGGGAGAGGCCGGAGTTTCTCAGGGACACCGCTCGATCACTCCACCAGCAGCGGGAAGCGCTCTGCCTCATCAAAACTCGCGTTCATCTGTGCGGCCCACTCCTCCAGCTCCGAGACCTGCCGGGGAGAGAGAGAGTCAACTATAGCCCCCCACACACATGCCCCCCAATCCCACTGCAGCTGTACATCCCCTCCCCCTCACCTCCTCGCGCTCTACACCGCCCCTCAACTCCGAGACCTGTGGGGGGAAGAGAGTCAACTATAGGGGACGGTAAAGTAAAAAGTGCAGCCAATCGCACAGAACAGGATCCCGCAAAAAGTCATGGATTGAGTGACCGGATTATTATTATTTTGAAGAGATTATTACCCCCGGAAAGTGATCCGCCAATTGCCTAACAAGCAGGTTCCTACTGACTGCTGGGAAACAGAGGCCTAACCCTTGGTCGCTCACCCCAGGGCCGTTTATGGGACTTTCCTCTATACACAGTCACTACACTACAAGTACCTGGATCTGCGGAATCTTCCGTCTCTTCCTCTTCTCTTTGCCGACTGCGATGCCGGGAATGTTCCCGTCAGGGGAAATGGGCGGACCCCGGTCCGAGGGCGGCTTCACTGGGGGCTTCATGCTGAGCGAGGGCCCCATCACTGGAGAAACCGCCCCCAGCCCCTCCCCGCACAGCCCCTCCTCCTCCCCACTCAGCCCCTCCCCATGCAGCAGCCGCTCAAAGCCAAACAAGGAGCAGCGCTTCCTAGGGGGAGCGTCTGGTGTGGAGGTGTGGATGGAGTCGAGCACAGTGAGGGCATCGCTGGGGGCGGGGCTAAGACGACTGTACGAGCGACGCACTTTGCGGGACATGAGCAGCTCCCGGGGGTTGGGGCTGTTCAGGGCGACGGGGGACAAGTGGCCTCTCTCTGCCCCGCTCCGCTCTGTGGCTTCTCCCCTCCCAGGCCCCACCTCCCCGGTCACCGCAGGCTCTGCTTCACGCACGTCCACATTTTCCTTCACTGACTGGTTACTGATCTGCAAACGTAAACACACAGCGTCACTTCGACAACAACAAAATGACACGTGTAAAGGCCTTTCACGTCAGGCGGACGTCGCAAGACCCTGGACAATCAGTGTTTCGGACCCGAGCTGGGGGGTGACATCAGGAGGGTGGGGTGGGAGGGTGACCGAAGGCATGGTTGAAGAGGAGAGTCTTGAGCTGGGTCTTGAAGGAGGCAAAGGAGGGGGCGAGGTGGAGGGACTGCGGGATGGAGTTCCAGGGGGTGGGGTCAGAGTGGTGGAAGGCCTGCCCGCCAATGGTGGGGCGGGCAAAGCAGGGGATGTGAATCAGGCTAGAGCCTGCTGAGCAGAGGGAGCGAGCAGCTTGGTAGGGGGTCCAGGGAAGATTTTTTTAAAAAGGATAGGAGTGATTATGGCCATTTTTAGAGGGTTGGGAACAGCACCAGTGGACAGGGAGAGGTTTATGATATCTGTGAGTAGGGCAGAAAGGAGGTGGAGCTGAGAGGAAGGAAAGGGGTAGGGATGGGATCGAGGGAGCAGGTGGTCGGTTTCATGCGCCCTGGGACGTCCTCCGGACATGGAAGGCACTATACAAAAGTAACTTTATTGTTGTTGTTGTTTTGATTGTGATGACAGAGGAGTGGGAGACAGGTTCAAAGGGTTGAAGTGAGGGATGGGTAGGGGCCAGGGTTGGAGGGAGCGATGGATTGGGGCCGGGGTTGGAGGGAAGGATGGGGAGGGGATAGTGGTCGGAAGGGTAGAGGCAGCTGAGCGGATCCTCTCGGCTTGGTTTCAAGGAAGTCCAGTATCTCCTCACAGTTGGCATTGGAGGAGGCTTCAACCCTCAATACACACAAACCAAACCCCACACACACAGCCCATTCCCCCCCCTCACCTCACACAGCACCCCCCAACCCCCCCAACCGGGTTACCTGTGTAGTCACTGTGACACCAGGTGTTACTCACCCGAGGGCTGCGTCTCAGGGCTTTGCTGATCTGTGAGTCCTGAGGGTAAAGAGCATAGTTACCACAGCCACAGAGTGAGAGCTGCTGGTGGAGCAACAACAACAACAAATTACATTTGTAGAGCGCCAGGTGGAGCCTGCTGAGCGGAAAGTAACTTATAGGAACAAGAGGAGGCCATTCAGCTCTTCGAGCCTGTTCTGTTATTTAATTAGATCATGGCTGATCTGTACCTCAACCAATCCTTTCAATTCCAATTTCCTGTTTCTTCCCATATCCCTTAATATCCTGACAATCTATCAAACTTACCCCGTGGCTGTGAGCTGCTTCCCCTGAAACCCTTTTCAACTGCAGAAAGAGAGAGAAAAAAAATCACACGTCAGTCTGGGAAACTCTCCCCACCCCCGAGGCAGGAGGTTGTGGGTTCAAACCCCCACGTCGGGGATTTTGACCTCACACACGGTCTAAGCTGATGCCCCAATACAATCCCTGTCTGTTCCCTGTTCAGGTGGATGGTTAAGATCTCCCACGGCATGATTGGAAAAGCTCAGATTTTCCCGGCTAACAATCCCCAGATAACACCGGTCACTTTCATGGCTGTTTGTAAGACTGAGCTGAGGGGGAGGAATCTCTGCCCCGAGTGACTGGTCAGACCTTCCAGGTCCTGCCAATGAGCCAGGCCAGGCTGTGCTGTCATCAGCAGTGAGTGCCCTGGGATATTGCGGCCCCTCCTGGCTCGGGAACCGGGACTAGAGACCATCACAGAGGAGAGGCTCGATTCTGACATTCCACTGCCAAATAGCGAAATCAAAGATAAAATTTATTGTTGTTGTTACTCACCAGCCGTCTCTCAGGCTCGATCTTCTTCAGAACAATGGAGTGCTTCACTACAGCCACCTGCACACACAGGAACACACGTCAGTGACCGAGCAACACAGCAACTAACAGCACTGAACACTGATTAGAAACTGGCTTGCAATCCAGACAAACATCTCTAACACAAACTAACACATCAGAGAAAACTATCTCAACATCAACTGCATCAGAACTGCTCCCCAGAGAGAGGGTTTTTTCAGGGATAAGGGATTAAAGAACGACTTTGCGAATGGTCTGCAGGAATCTTCTCTCAGAAACATTCAGAATAACTGTTTACAACAGATCGGATACACCACAAATATCATCTGCATGAAAGAGGCTCAGAAACAGAGAGTGATGAACACGGAGACAGAGAAAAGAGGTGAAACAAAATGGAGAGGGAGAGAAGGGGTTACGGTTAGTGTCAGTTCATTACAACCTCTGATGGTAAGACTCTGGTTACTGGGACATTGTCTGTGATGCCCACACACAGTGTTAGCCACACACGCCAACAGTCAGTGGTGGTGTTTAGCTCTCACCCTCCTCATTCCCTCCACACCCTTCTCCATCCCTGAGGAGCAAAGTTGTGAGGTTGGAGCCGGACCAGGGCCTCCCTCCCTCTCCGGAGACGCTTTGTTTTTCTTGGCTCCTGACAGTCGCTCTGAGCGCCTCCGGACCGACTGAGACACATCTGTAAACAGACAGAACATCAACTGCTTCAGCTCCAGTCACAGCCGAACATAACACAGCAAAACCTGGGATGTCATCACCCTCCACTCACACACTCTCCCCCACCCCCCGCCATCTATAACCCTCGGTCTCACACTCTCTCTCTCTCTCTCTCTCGTTCCCTCACTATTTCCATCTCTCTATTTCTCTCTCTCACAAACCGTTCACAGTCGACATCTTCTTTTGAATCTGCCGCGCGGGAACCGGAACCGGAAAGAGCGCGGGCGGCGGCGGGGTGTGATGACGTCACCCCACACGCAGTTATTCGGGTTTATTTATAATTATCATTGTCAGAGCCGCCGCATTTCCCCCCCGACACCTCGCCCCCCCCACACGGTGCCGCGTGAGTGTAAATAATATATATATAAATTGTTGTGCTTGTTAATTGGCTTCTGGGCGGAGTAGAGCGAGATACCGGATATACGTCACAATTGTGCGCCGGAAACTATCTGGAGGTGACGCGGCGGCGGCGGTGGCGATGGGTTTGTGTAAATGTCCGAAACGGAAAGTCACCAATTTGTTCTGTTTCGAGCATCGAGTGAACGTCTGTGAGCACTGTCTGGTCTCCCGCCACAGCCAGGTACAGAGTGTCAGCCAACCGCGGGATACACCCCACAACACCCCCACAACCCCCCAAATAACTGCCTCAGGCCTAACCCTCCCCACACACAGCCCTCCCCACACACACCCCTCCCCCCCCACACACAGCCCCGCCACCCCCTCCCCCCCCCACACACACACACACACACAGCCTCACCACTACACACACGTACAAACACACTATCTGTGAGCATTGTTTCGTGTCCCGTCACAGCCAAATATCAGTATCCCCACCCCCCCCCCCCCGAGCTAACATCGAGCTACCCCAACATATATATGTATGTATGTAGATATATATATACACATGTGTCTCTCGACAGTGTATTGTCCAGTCCTACCTGCAGTGGCTCCAGGACAGTGACTACAACCCAAACTGCCGGCTCTGCCATGTCCCGCTCGCCTCCAAAGAGACCATCCGACTGGTGTGTTACGGTGAGGCTCTCGTCAGTTAGGAACTCGCGCTCTCGCTGCTTCGGTGCTGGAGATGGAGCAGGGAGCGAGGTGTAGCGACCGTCTGGGGGAGCAGTATTCAAGTTCCTTCAGCTCCAGCACCAGCAGCCACGCTTTCAGCCACTACACTCCGAAAGTCAATCACTGACCCTGCGTCCCCGACCCTCGCGCGCCGCGTCCCCGACCCTCGCGCGCCGCGTCCCCGACCCTCGCGCGCCGCGTCCCCGACCCTCGCGCGCCGCGTCCCCGACCCTCGCGCGCCGCGTCCCCGACCCTCGCGCGCCGCGTCCCCGACCCTCGCGCGCCGCGTCCCCGACCCTCGCGCGCCGCGTCCCCGACCCTCGCGCGCCGCGTCCCCGACCCTCGCGCGCCGCGTCCCCGACCCTCCTGCTGTGTCTCTGACCCTCACGCCGCATCTCTGAACCCTCCTGCTGTGTCTCTGACCCTCACAGACCTCTTTCACTGGTCCTGCCTGAATGAGACAGCAGCTAAACTGCCGATGAACACTGCGCCGGCCGGTTACCAGTGCCCGAGCTGCTCAGGAGGAATCTTCCCACCAGCCAATATGGTCAGCCCTGTGGCCAATATCCTGCAAGAAAAGCTGGCCACTGTCAACTGGGCCCGAGCTGGGTTGGGGCTCCCGCTGGTGAGAGATAGAGAGAGAGCGCCTCGCTATCCCCCCCAGCGCCTGGCCTCCCGATGTGCGGGGAAAGGAAGCACATCTCACATTGCGCATTGTGCAGTCCTATAGTGTAGTGGTTAGAACTCTCGCCTCACAAACGAGAGGACCTAGGTTCGATTCCTGGCCTGGGGGAAACCTTACGTAAGTTTCCTTACTTCACACACACGCCTCTGTTTACCAGCAGTAAGTAGGAATCTGCTTGTTGGTCGACTGCCGGATCACTTTTCCGGGGGTAATAATTATAAGAATAATCTAGTCGCTGAATCTACCACTGTGTGTGGGGGACTGCTGTACACAATTGGCTACTGCGTTACACCCATAAAACACACAGTCACTACACTTTACTGTACTGTCTCGTGCAGCGTTTCCCAGGGCTCTGTCCTTAGTCCCCTCCTCTTCAACATCTATTTGCTCCCTCTTGGCGACATCATCCACAGACATTGGGTCAACTTCCACATGTGTGCAGATGACACCCAACTCTACCTCTCTGCCTCCACCTTTGACTCCAGGACCCACTGCTGTCCTGACAGAATGTCTGTCAGACATCAAGTCCTGGATGAGAGCTAATTTTCTTCAGTTGAACATCAACAAGACCGAGGCTCTCCTGATTGGCTCCTGTCAGCGCCTCCTCACCTCAGGCGCTGACAGCATCACCATCCATGGCCGCTCACTCCACCTTGCTAAGCCAGTCCAGAACCTTGGGGTCTTGTTTGACCCTCAGCTATCCTTTCTACCCCACATCTGTGCCTTGACCCGCTCTGACTTCCCCCACCTCCGCAACATTGCCCAGCTCCACCACTGTCTCGCACTGCAGGCAGGCAAAACCATCATTACATCGAGGCTCAACTATGCAAACTCATTGATTATCGGCCTCCCCAACTCCTCCCTCCATAGGCTATAGATCATCCAGAACTCTGCTGCCTGTGTACTCCTGCACCAGGCTCCGCAACCCTATCACCCCCATCCTCACCCGACTCAACTGGCTTCCCATCACACAAGAGAATACAGCTCAAGATCCTGGTCCTCACCTTCAAAGCCCTCCACGGTCTTGCTCCCCCCAACCTCTGCGACTTCCTAACCCTCTACCACCCTGTATACTCCCTTCGCTCAGCGGGCTCCAACCTGCTTCATGCATGCCTCGCCTCGCTTGCCCTATCGGTGGGCAGGCCTTCCGCCACTCTGCACCCATCCTCTGGAACTCCATCCCGCAGTCCCTCCGTCTTGCCCCCTCCCTCGCCACCTTCAAGACCCACCTAAAGACCCTCCTCTTTGACCGTGCTTTCGATCTCCCTGCTTCCCCTCCTGCCCTCCCCCACCCTGACCCTCAGTTTTTGTCCGTAACTCTGTCTGCCCAGACCCCTTGGGACGTCGTCCCGACATGAAAGGCGTTTTACAAATGTAATTGTGTTGTTATATTCTGTGAAGCGCTTTGAGAAGTAATGTGATAAGGTGCTATATCAAATGTAAGGATTATTATATTTTATTAATATATTCATTGTTTGGAGTTGTTGGGATCTGGAATGCATTGTCTAAAAGGGTTGTAGAAGCCAATTCGATAACAACTTTTAAGAGAGAAGTAGATAATTATTTGTGGAGGACAAGTTTGCAGGGCTATGGGGAGAGCACGGGGGAGTGGGATTGAATTGGATAGCTCCTTTCAAAGAGTCGGCACATGCACGATGAGCCAAATAGCCTCCTTCTGTGCTGTATAATTCTATGATACTGTTATGTTATTATGTTATGTTATTATATTGTTCTCACTTCTCACTCAGATCGAGGAATCAGAAACCTCAGTGGCTGCGGATGTCACTGACTACAGCGACTGGTCCAACTTCAGTGGTGAGTGGTCAGGGCAGGGGTCGGGTGGGGTGTGACTGAGACACTGACCGGTGCCGAGTGAGATGGGGTTGTGCAGGTACTGTAAGAAATATAAGGATTATTATTATTACTTTTGATGACGTGTCTCTGGCTACAGGGCGGGGAGGGTCTGGATTGCTATGCTGATGGGTGTCGGGATTGCTATGGTGATGTATCTCTTGCTACAGGCCAGGGCAGGGAGGAGGAGTCGGGCTCGGGTTCCAGGCGGGATTACAGTAACAGCAACACCACCAACAGCCAGACTGTGGTCAACATGGTCACCCAGGACAGTGAGGCCATGTCACTAACCTCAGGTCAGTAAGTGTGTCACTCTGACATTTGTGTGACTCTGTGGGCGTGTGTGAATCTCTCTGACTGTGTGCGCACGTGCGACTGTGTGTGTGCGACTCTTTTCTCACCCCCCCCCCAGGCAGTACACAGGCGCCCTCGGCCCGGAAGGTATATGACACACTGACACGAGGTGGGGATCGAGCCCCGGTGACACTGATCGACTTTGATGATGACAAATATCGGCGCCGCTCGGCCCTCGGCTGGTTCGCTCGGTGGTTCAAGTGAGTAAATACTCCATCCAGCAGAGCCTCTTCGTGTGTGTGTCTGTGTCTCACTCGTTCTCACTCTGTGTATCTGCCTGTCCCCCTCTCACTCTCTGTCTGTTCCTCTCTCTCTCTGTCTGTCTCTCTCTTGCTCTCTGTGTCTGTCTGTCCCTCCCCCCCCCCTCCCTCTCTCTCTATGACTGTGTGTCTGTCTGTCCCCCCCCCGCCCTCCCTCTATCTCTCTGTGACTATGTTACCCTGAGCCGTGTCTTGACAGTGTAAAGTGGTTCCTGGTCTGGGCTCCATGTGACACACTGTGAATCCTCGTTGTCTCTGGTCTGGATTTCGTGGCTTGGTTTCCGCTGTTAACCCTTCGCCTCCTCTGTCTCCCCAGGAGCCGCCAGGGCAGCCAGAAGCCCCCGGCCTCCCGGCTGCAGAGAGTGACTGTAATCCTGGTCCTGGCCGCTCTTGCCTTCCTCACACTCATTATCGTCATGTCCCGGCTCAGCCGCTCGGCCAGCGACAACGACCCCAACTGGGACCTGATGCAGAACCCACACGTGCAAGTGGGCGCCCAGTGAGGGCGGGGCCCGGGGAGAGGTGGGGCCCAGTGAGGGGGAGGAGTCCAATGAGGGGCAGACCCCAGTGAGGGAGGGGTCCAGGGAGAGGGTGGGGCCCAGTGAATGTGGGAGTGGTTGGGTGAGGGGCTCAGTGAGGGGAGGGGCTGAGAGTGGGACTGGTCCACCGTGACTCCCTCCCCCTCTCTGTCCCCAGAGAGATGAGATGAGAATCGCTCCTCGTTTTCTCAGTCTCGCTCGCTCTCTGGCTGTAAATAGTGTAAATGGAGACGTGGGGGTGGGTGGGTAATGGAATCTGGTTCCCTTGTGTGAGTGAGCGTAGCTATTACCCTGGTTAGGGTTAGGTGGGTGGGGTCAGTGAGTGGGGAGGGGTGTATGAGCAGAGCACTAGTGAGGAGACGACTTAAACAGATAAATTGCACTTTAATGTGATTCACAACGTGTGTGTGAGGCCACTCGGGGGGATAGGATCGAGGCTGTGACAGACACAGAGGCAGCCAGGGAGAGGGCAGGGGGTCCTGTTGCCATCTTGTCCCCCCGCCGCAGAGCAGTGAGGGGAAGGGCTGAGAGTGGGAGCGGTGCGTTGTGTCAGTGCCGGGGGTATCAATACTTCTCCTCCCTGAAGTGAATAACACTAAATTCAAACCAGATGCGTCCGACAAAAATGCAGAAATTCAGACCTAGACAGAGAGAGAGAACGAGGGAGTCAGTGAGACAGAGAGAGGGAGGGTGGGGAGAGAGAGAAACAAGGATGTGTGGAGACCCTGACAGACACTTACCCATAGACACTAGAGACACTTTGGTCAGCCACTGGTTCTCGCACTGCACACAGTACATGGTGCCCAGCAAAGCCCAGTAAAAGCTCATCACGTGCGACAGCTGTAAACAAGCACAGACAGTGACCTTGTCTGCGCTCTCACGTGCCCTCGCTCTCCACGCTCAGCGGGAAACGAGGACTGTAGCTCAGTGGTTAGCGCGCTCGCCTCGCAGGCGAGAGGACCCCGGTTCGATTCCCAAGTAGGGTGAAACCTTAGGGAAGTTTCCTTACTCACACACACGTCTCTGTTTCCCGAGCAGTAAGTAGGAACCCGGTTGTTATTCGATCGGTGGATCGCTAATAATCCTTTCAAAATAAATTATAATTTGGTTGTTCAATCCACGACTGTGTGGGGGACACTGGCGTGTGCAATTGGCTGCTGCATTTCACTCACAAAATATACAATCACTGCACTTCACAGTTGTGAAGCGCTTTGATAAGTCTCAACGATGTGATAAGGCGCAGTATCAATTGCAATTGTTATAAATAAAGCAGTTCAGAAGCCAGCAAAGTGATTCCAGAAACAGCGATAACGGTGTCTCAGTTCATTAAAAGATTCTAATTCCCGGATCTGACGTTTATTTCCTTTCCTCAGTCTGCCTGTTTTTATAAATAATATATAAATATAATTCAATAAACCTTTCTTGTCTTTGCATTTTAAATAAAAATGTGTTTGAGTGCAGCTGCTGATGTCTGTGTGAAAGAGTATCTGAAACTGCATTATCGAACGAGGCAATTCAATAAACCGAGCTCCCGTCTGCACTTGTTCAGGTGCACAGGGCCTTGGGAAGTCCTCCCGACGTGAAAGGTGATATAAGTTATTCTCGTTGTTGGATTTTAAACCACACCCCGCCATGAGTTTCTCCCACAACCCTCCAGATAAACTTGTTGGTTCACGCGGCTGTTTGTGGGAAGTTGCTGCGCAAACCGTCTGCCACATTTGCAAATAACACAAAGGCCGAGTCACTGCAGTGAATCACGGTTAGAGCAACTGCATCGCAAACGAGGGGACCCGGATTCGATTCCCTGACACGGCAAAACTTTAGACACTACTGTGCACGATTGGCTGCCGCGTTCGGCCCACAAAATACAGTCACTGCACTTTACAGTATACACTGAAGCGCCTTGGTACATCCTCCCGAAGTGAAAGGCGCTGTGTAAATGTTGTATAGGAACAGGAGGCCATTCTTTTAGATCGTGGCTGATCTGTACCTCAACTCCATTTACCTGCCTTTGCCCCATTATCCCTCACTGCCTTGCAGCTGAGCTAATGACTAGTGGTGACTCACGAGCAGAGCCACGGTGTGATTGCCACTAAAGAAACGAAGCTTCTCGGCCACTGTGTGATAAACGATATCAATCATTAGAACCACGGTGTGAAGCAGCAGGAAAATCACCGACAAACCCGTCAACATCATCTTCTTCTCGATCCCATACCACCATAACTTCCTCTTGAAACACATTCCCCGGTTTATCCTGATTCCCAGGGTTTATCCCGAGTCTCCAATCCTGTGGGATAACAGTATAGTAATAATCATTGTATTTGATATAGCACTTCATCACGTCCTCAAGACATCTCAAAGCGCTTCACAGGAAACTAAAGTGTGAATGTGTTGTGGGCAAAACACCGCAGTCAATTGCACTCAGCGACGTCCCACAAAGTCGTGGATTGAGTCACCAAATTATTATTTTGAAGGGATTATTACCCCTGAAAAGTGATCCGACAATCGACTAACACGCGGGTTCCTATTGACTGCCAATAAACAGAGGCGTGTGCGTGTGTGGAGCCGGGAAACTCGCCTGAGGTTTCGCCCTGACTGGGATTCCAACCCAATTCCTCTCACTTGCGAGGCGAGTGCTCCAACCACTACGCGAGAGGCCGATACAATGTTGGGAATCGCACGCTCTCCCCGATCGGGTGGGTGGGACAGGACTTCCCGAGGTGGGGCAGGACTTCCCGAGGTGGGGAGGAAGGTGGGTGGGGCAGGACTTCCCGAGGTGGGGAGGAAGGTGGGTGGGGCAGGACTTCCCGAGGTGGGGAGGAAGACGGCTGAGAATTGTACTCGGGTTTTGTTTTTATGGCAACAGAACTCGTGACATCAAATGGGAATTATGGCCATTTGTGAAGCAATAAACGTGTTGGTTCCACCGATTCCAGAGGTGGTCCGTGGCTCAGGGTCTCTGAGCGGTGACTGTCCTCCTCGGGGGAGAGTGAGTGGTCTCCGGGGCTCCTCTCAGCTCCAATGTTTGACAACGGAGCGTAGGGATCGAGCCCCCGGTTCCCGAGCCCGGAGGGGCCGAGGGGTCCCCGCGGGCACTCGCTGCTGATGGCGCTCCGGCCCAGACACGGGAGGACCAGTCACTGGGGCAGAGAATCCTCCCCTCAGCCCCTGGTAACCCCACAGCCATAGCCCCCACTGACTGACTGGCGGGGGGGGGGGCGGGGGGGGGGGTCATGGCTGCCCGACAGCCCTCGCGCTCTCTCTGTGGCCGAGCGGTGTGGGGGGTCTATCCGGTTGGACCCCCCGCAGTGCCCCCCCTCCCGGTCTGGGTCCGTGTGTCACGTGTCGCTGTGTCTGACGTGAGTGTGTCACGTGTCGCTGTGTCTGACGTGAGTGTGTCACGTGTCGCTGTGTCTGACGTGAGTGTGTCACGTGTCACTGTGTGTCACGTGTCTCTGTGTGTCACGTGTCTCTGTCTCCCGCTGTCCTGTTTGGCTCCGCCCTGTCAGTGAGTGACGCTCCCCTCCGTCTCTGTGACGGTTAGTGTCTCTGAGGGTGAGCTGTTCGCTCTGTGACGGTTAGTGTCTCTGAGGGTGAGCTGTTCGCTCTGTGTCTCTCATGGCGGAAGCGGCCGAGGAGGCCTCGGGCCTCGTGCGGGATGAAGCCTCGGACTCGGGTTGTGTCCCGGGCCGGGGGGAGGGAGGCCCGGGCCGGGGGGGAGGCGGCGCGGCCCGGGGGCTGCTCAGACTGTATTACGGCATCACTGAGGCTCGAGACCCGCGGGGACCGACAGACATCGACGGCGCCAACTTCAACCCCGACATTTACCTCAACAAAGTCAGTGTCTCACTCACTAACCCGTGTCTGTCACTAACTAACCCGTGTCTGTCACTAACTAACCCGTGTCTCTGTCACTAACTAACCCGTGTCACTGTCACTAACTAACCCGTGTCACTGTCACTAACTAACCCGTGTCTGTCACTAACTAACCCGTGTCTCTGTCACTAACTAACCCGTGTCTCTGTCACTAACTAACCCGTGTCTCAGTCACTAACTAACCCGTGTCTCTGTCACTAACTAACCCGTGTCTCTGTCACTAACTGACCAGCGGGTATCTGATTCACTCACTGACCAGTCACTAACTCATTGGTGTCTCTGTCACTGGTGTGTGTGGGCCGTGTAGTGACGGTGTGTGGGGGTTAGTGACCATGTGTGGGTGTGTGGGTGGGGGTGTGTGTGGGTTAGTGACGGTGTGTGTGGGTGGGGGTGTGTGTGGGTTAGTGACAGTGTGTGTGGGTTAGTGGGTGTGTGGGGGAGGGTGTGTGTGTGGGTTAGTGACGGTGTGTGGGGGTGTGTGTGGGTGGGGTTGTGTGTGGGTTAGTGTGGGTTTGACCGTGCCTTCAGCTCCCCTCTCGACTCTCTTCCCCCTCCTCGCTCCCTCCCTTCCCTCCCCTCACCATTTCCCCCCTCCTCTCTCCCTCCCTTCCCTCCCCTCACCCTGACCATTCCCCCCCAATGCTCGGGTCATGACCCAACTGTTCAGCGCCTTGGGACGTCCTCCTGACGTGAAAGGCGCTCTATAAATGGAATCTTGTTGTTGTTGTTGTTGTTGTTGTGGTGTGTGGGGGAGGGGGTGTGTGTGGGTTAGTGACGGGGTGGGGGGGTGTGTGGGTTAGTGACGGTGTGGGTGGGGGTGTGTGGGGGTTAGTGACGGTGTGGGGGGGTGTGTGGGTTATTGACGGTGTGTGTCTTCCCCCCCCCCCCTCCCCCCCTCCCGGTGTAGCTGAGGAGCGAGTGCAGTCTGGCAGAGCTCATGGACAGTGAGGCTGAGATGGTGAAGCACATTCGGGCTCTGGACAGTGATATGCAGACTCTGGTTTATGAAAACTACAACAAATTCATATCAGCCACAGGTACAGCCCCTCTGGGCACCGCTCACCAGTCACTACACCGGACTGTACTGGGGCTGGGAAGGAAGGGTTGGTGCTTGGAGTTAGAGGTAGGGCCTGGGTGCGTGTTGGGGGTTGAGGGGGATGGGGTACGATGTGGTGGGGGTGTGTGGGAGGGTTGGGGCTGGATGTGTGTTGGGGGGTGGGGGCTGGGGGTGTGAGGGGAGGTTGGGTCGATGGGGTTGGGGCTGGGGTCCGCTCTCTGACCCAAGCCCACTCCCCTCTCAGACACCATCAGGAAGATGAAGAACGACTTTAAGAAAATGGAGGATGAGATGGATTGTTTGACGACAAACATGACGGCAATCACCGAGTTCAGTGCCCGAATCAGCCACACCCTCCAGCACCAGCACCGGCAAATCACCAAGCTCTCCGGTAACTCACACCGCCCAGCGCCAGCCAGTCACCAACACACACACCGCCCAGCGCCAGCCAGTCACCAACACACACACCGCCCAGCGCCAGCCAGTCACCAACACACACACCGCCCAGCGCCAGCCAGTCACCAACACACACACCGCCCAGCGCCAGCCAGTCACCAACACACACACCGCCCAGCGCCAGCCAGTCACCAACACACACACCGCCCAGCGCCAGCCAGTCACCAACACACACACCGCCCAGCGCCAGCCAGTCACCAACACACACACCGCCCAGCGCCAGCCAGTCACCAACACACACACCGCCCAGCGCCAGCCAGTCACCAACACACACACCGCCCAGCGCCAGCCAGTCACCAACACACACACCGCCCAGCGCCAGCCAGTCACCAACACACACACCGCCCAGCGCCAGCCAGTCACCAACACACACACCGCCCAGCGCCAGCCAGTCACCAACACACACATCGCCCAGCGCCAGCCAGTCACCAACACACACACCGCCCAGCGCCAGCCAGTCACCAACACACACACCGCCCAGCGCCAGCCAGTCACCAACACACGCATCGCCCAGTGCCAGCGAGTCACCAACACATGTACCACCACTAACAAATCACTAAACTCCAGTGCAGCACCGTGCAGCCCACACCTGCATGTGAGTGTGTGTTACAGTGTGTGACTGTGTCTGTGCCTGTTACAGGCATTCACACCTTGCTGAGTGTGTGTATGTTAGTGGGTGAGTGTGTATCTTAGTGTGTGAGTGTGTATGTTAGTATGTGTGTGTTAGTGTGTGTGTATGTTAGTGTGCATGTTAGTGTGCATGTTAGTGTGTGTGTGAGTGTGCATGTTAGTGTGTGTGTGTTAGTGTGTGAGTGTGCGTGACAGTGTATTTCTGCCTGTTATAGGTGTGCACACCTTGCTGAGGAAGCTACAGTTCCTGTTTGAGCTGCCATCACGGCTGAACACTTGTGTGGAGTTGGGAGCCTTTGGGCAGGCGGTGCGATATTACAGTAAAGCTCGCTGTGTGTTACACCAATACCAGCACATGCCCTCCTTCCACGGCATCCAACACGACTGCCAGCTGATCATGGCCTCGCTGGCTCTCACCCTGAGAGACAGGTTCAGGTATTCAATATTTAATAACAACAGGTGACATTTACACAGCGTCCAGGGCGCTGGACAGTCAGCGATTTATACCTGAGCTGCGGGTTGAGATCAGGAGGTGTGGAGGGTGACCGAAGGCTTGGTTAAAGGGGAGGCTTTTGAGATGGGCCTTGAAGGGGGGGTGGGGGAGGGAGGGGGATTGTGGGATGGAGTTACAGAGGGTTGGGGCAGAGAGGCTGAAGGATCAACCTCTGATGGTGGGATGGGCTGGGGACATGGAGCATCCCGGAGCCCGCTGACGTTGTGTGTGAGAGTGCGTGTGTGTGCAACTGCGCGTGTGTGTGACAGGGACGGTCTCTGTGTGTAACACGGCTGGTGACTGTGTGTGACAGTGACGGAGGCTCGAGCCCCCAGGAGTTGGCCGAGTGTGTGGAGCTGTTACTGCAGCTGGAGGAGCCGGCTGAGGAGTTGTGTGATGAATTCCTGGCTCACGCCCAGCGCCGGTTGACAGACGAGCTATTGTTGTTGGAGCGGGAGTTGGGCGGAGACGCGGGGCCTCTCAGTGATGTCCTGGAATTCACTGACAAAGGCTGTAACGGCTTCGTCAGCAACACCTGCCTGGTGATGGCCTCGTACCAGGACTTGTTTATCAGCCGCTCGGCTCAAGGCCCGGTGTCTGCCATGGCACAGGGGAAGCTCGTGGGCTTTGTGGACGGACTGATGGCCACTTACTTCTCTCTGGTGGAGCGCAGAATCACGCTGGAGAGGAAGAGTCTGGGAGACAACTCTCTGCTCGTCCGGTCGCTTGATCGCTTTCACCGGCGGTTGCAGGCTGTGGCTAAGCTGCTTCCAGGATCTGGCGTGGCTGCCGAGGGCACGGCTATCGTGGTAAGAGCGGCCAAGCAGCGGCTCAGTCAGTACCTGCTCGCCATGAGGAGCTTCTTCACTGACTGTCTGACCGACGTGCGTCAGGCCCTGGCGGCTCCACGTCTCCCAGGTAAAGACCAGCCCAGTCTGGCTGACCTCTTGACTTCCGTCTCCACTGCCGTCCTCAACCAGATCAAGTCAGTCCTTGCCTACGTCCATCTGTTCACAGCCAAAGACATCACCTTCTCCAGCAAGACTTACTTCAAGGTAATCGGGCCGAGCGGAGTCCTGCTCAGGGGTTCGACCCCTCGCCTTGCAAGCCATAGTCCACAGACACAGACACACACACATACATACATAGACACATGCGTGCGCCTCTGTTTACCAGCAGTGGGTAGGAACCCGGTTGTTAGTCGATTGGTGGATCACTTTTCCGGGGGTAATAATCCTTCCAAATAAATAATAATAATTGTGTCACTCAATCCCCAACTGTTTGTGGGATACTGCTGTGTGCATTTTGCTACCGTGTTTCGGGCACAAAAATATACAGTCACTACACTTTACCATATACTCTGTGAAACGATTTGAGACATCTCAACAACGTGATAAGGCGCTGTGTCAAATTCAAGGATAATTATTAATATATTATATTATTGTAGGGTGAGTTCTGCAGCCAGGGGGTGAGGGAGGGGCTGATCGTGGCATTTATCCGGTACCTGTGCCAGACAGCGAGGCAGTTCTGTGAGTCGGGGGGAGAGAGAGGAGCCACCCCCCCAGCCCTGCTCCTCATCCTGTCGCGGCTTTGCCTGGATTACGAGACATCGACCATTTCCTACATTCTCACCCTGACTGATGAGCAGTTCCTGGGCCAGGTCAGTCTCCCCGGCTCAGTGTGTGTGTGTCTGCCCGGCTCAGTGTGTGTATGTGTGTGTCTGCCCGGTTCAGTGTATGTGTGTCTGCCCAGTGTGACACTGAACAACAACATCACCAACAACTTACATTTACACAACTCCCTGCCTCACCTCCTTTTAGGAACCTCCTCTTCAATCACACCTTCCATCACCCTCCTACCTCCACCCCTCTTGATCCCAACCCGCAGCTGAGGTCCAAACCCCTGACTGTCCAGCGCCTCGGGCCGTCCTCTCGATGTGAAAGGCTCCGTGTAAATGTAATGTGATGCTGTGACGCTGTGTCTGTCTGTCTCTCCCCCTCCCTGGTTACCACGGTGACAGTGCTGTGTGTGTATACCCTCCAGGACGCCTCCCCCGTTACACCGGTGACCGTTCTCTGCGCTGACGCCCGGGACACGGCCCAGAAGCTGCTGAACCACCAGGTGAAGGTTCAGGGATTGAACATTTCTCAGATGCTGCGGAAAAGCGTGGAGACTCGGGATTGGGTGAGCACCATGGAACCTCGTAATGTCAGGGCCGTCATGAAGAGGGTCGTGGAGGACATCACAGCCATCGACGTGCAGGTCAGCGATCACCGTCAGCCTCTCCCCCTCCCCAAACACCCCTCCCCATCACCGTCAGCCTCTCCCCCTCCCCAAACCCCCCTCCCCATCACCATCAGCCCCTCCCCCTCCCCAAACCCCCCTCCCCATCACCATCAGCCCCTCCCCAACCCCCTCCCCATCACCATCAGCCCCTCCCCCTCCCCAAACCCCCCTCCCCATCACCATCAGCCCCTCCCCAAACCCCCCCCATCACCGTCAGTCTCTCCCCCTCCCCAAACACCCTCCCCATCACCGTCAGCCTCTCCCCCTCCCCAAACACCCCTCCCCATCACCGTCAGCCTCTCCCCCTCCCCAAACACCCCTCCCCACCACCGTCAGCCTCTCCCCCTCCCCAAACACTCTCCGCATCACCGTCAGCCTCTCCCCCCCTCCCCATCACTGTCAGCCCCTTCACCCCCATCACCGTCAGCCTCTACCCCCTATCCCTAAACCTGCTCCCTTCCTCATCACCGTCAGCTTCTGGTTGCCGAGGGAGGCAGTGGTTGCTGGGGTGAATGTGGTTTCCAGGGGCAGGTGGTTCCCAGTGGGTACGGTTGCCAGGGGCAGGTAGTTGCTAGGGGTGCCTTTGCTATGTGACACTCTCTTGCCAGGTGGGGCTGCTGTATGAGGAGGGGGTGAGGAAAGCCCACAGCAGTGACTCCAGCAAAAGAACCTTCTCCGTCTACAGCTACAGCTGCTCCCGTCAGCCAACGCGCTACAGCTACACCCCCAGGTAGGTACCCCACCAGCCCCCCCCCCCCAAACCCCCCCCCCAACCGCCCCCGGCCCACAGCTACACCCCGAGAAATGTACCCTCCTAGTCCCAAAACCCCCCACCACCACCGCTCAGCCCCGCTCCGCTCGGCCTCTAACCCCAGTGTGTGTGAGTGGGTCTCTCCACTGCACTGACCCTGTGCTGTTGCCCCCCCAGTGCGCCGATGGACACCAACCTCCTCAGCAACATCCAGAAGCTTTTCTCTGAGAGAATTGACATCTTCAGCCCTGTGGAGTTCAACAAGGTGAGAAGAGCGAGGCCGGAGCCAGGAGGGGCCTCAGGCTCCCAGGGCACTCACTGCTGATGGCAGCCCAGCCCGACCAGGCTCATTGGCAGGACCTGGAAGGGCTGAACAGTCACTGGGGGCAGGGAATCCTCCCCCTCAGCTCCAGTTAACCCTGCAGCCAAAACCCTAACTAACTAACTAACTAACGGGGAGGGGGGTCCAAGCTGGACAAGCAGTGGGAAAGCTTTGCCAGACAGCGCTCTCTCTCTCTCTCTCTCAATGGCAAGCTATATGGGTTTAGCTGGTTAGACCCCAGAAGTTACCCCAACCCATACTCTGGGCTCCCCCCAAGTCTTGGCTCTCACCCAACCTATACCTAATACTTTCCGGAATTAGGTAAGCAGGGGGCGTCCCTCCAGAGAGAGAGAGAGAGAGAGGGGGCATTCCATTCAAACAATCCATCTCTGGGGTTTCCAGGTATGGGTGGGATGTGGGAAATTCTCAGTTGGATTTGGAAACTCTTAAGCAACAGTGACGGGTTTGTGCGTATGTCAGACACCCAGCCCGACAGAAAAAACACGGAAAACGGTCACCGTGACTGTCTGTGTATGTGTGAAGGTTTGTGTCAGTGTGAGTGAATAACAGCGCCTTGGGACGTCCTCCTGATGTGAAAGGCGCTCTATAAATGGAATCTTGTTGTTGTTGTAACTGTGTGGGTGTGGCTGATTGTGTGCCTATTTTCCCGGCTGCAGGTCTCGGTACTCACGGGGATCATTAAGATCAGTCTGAAGACCTTCCTGGAGTGTGTGCGGCTGAGGACGTTTGGCCGTTATGGTTTACAGCAGATCCAGGTGGACTGCCATTACCTGCAGCTTTACCTCTGGCACTTTGTTTCTGACGAGAACCTTGTCCACTTCCTCCTGGATGAGATCGTGGGCAGCTCAGCCCATCGCTGCATCGACCCCGTCACCATGGAGCAGAGCGTCATCGAAGTCATCTGTGAGCGGGGTTAGGGCGTGGGCAGGGGGCACAGGGACAGGAGTCACAGCTCTAGGGTCTCGGCTTGGGGTCATGGGCCAAGGATCACATTGTAATAATCCTTACAGCGCCTTATCATGTCATCGAGACATCTCAAAGCGTTGAACTGCAATTAGTTGCCGTGTTTTGCCCACAAAATACAGCAGCCAATTGCGCGCAGCAGTTTCCCACAAACAGCCGTGGGTTGAGTGACCAAATTATTTATTTTTGGGGTGGGAACGAAGGGCAATGAGCCAGAGTCTTGGTGTTAATTATTCCTGTGCTTTGTCTTTGTTGAATGTTGTAAAGATTATAATAAAATGTAAAGAAGATTCTACACAGAGTGTAGGATGGTCATGTGAAGCCTGACCCAGGTTAGACACTCTCTCTCTCTTTCCCTCGCTCTGTCTCTCTCTTTCCCTCCTTCACTGTGTCTCTCTCTCTCACTCCCTGAGATGAGACGATTACATTATCAAAGTGTGTGTCTCTCCACTAATAATAATAATACTACTGGCATTTGATACAGCGCCTTTATCACTTTAAGACGTCTCAAAGCGCTTCACAGGATACACTGTAAAGTGTAATGATTGTGTGTTTGGTTAGCGAAACGCGGCAGCTAATTGCGCCCAATGACGTCCCCTCAAACAGTCGTGGGTTGAGTGACCAATTTTTTTATATAGTGCAATTATTACCCCCCCACCCCCCGGAAAGTGATTCTCCCAATGAACTGACCAGCGGATTTCCTGCTGACCGAGGCTCGTGTGGAGGAAGGAGACTTACCAAAGATTTGCCGTGGCCCGGGGATGGAAGCTGCGGGCGAGGCGAGCGCACGGACCACTGCACTGGGTCTGCGGAGCGTTGACAGGACCTCGGGGGCGAGCGAGAGAGGCTCCTGTGTTGGGTTTGGCTCTCACCCCCCCCCCCACCGATGACGTCACCTCCCCACCCACCAGTGACGTCACCTCCCCCGCCCACCAATGATGTCACCTCCCCCTCCGATGACGTCACACACTAAACGATCCTGACGTAGGTAGGACACCACGCGATGACGAGGACGCCGTCACCCAGGGCTTCCAGTACGTGATGACGCAGGACGCCACCTTCTAATGCCGCGGGGAAAATGGCGCGGAACTGGAGCCGTCTCCTCCCGGAGCTGAGCTCCGTATACACCCGCTTCCCGGTAAGTAATGTATATACACCCCCCACACACCCCATATACACCCTACACCCCCCCCCACACCCCATATACACCCTACACCCCCCACACACCCCATATACACCCTACACCCCCCACACACCCCATATACACCCCATATACACCCTACACCCCCCACACACCCCATATACACCCTACACCCCCCACACACCCCATATACACCCTACACACACCCCATATACACCCCATATACACCCTACACCCCCCCACACACCCCATATACACCCCACACACCCCATATACACCCTACACCCCCCACACACCCCATATACACCCTACACCCCCCACACACCCCATATACACCCTACACCCCCCACACACCCCATATACACCCTACACCCCCCACACACCCCATATACACCCTATACACACCCCATATACACCCCATATACACCCTACACACCCCATATACACCCCACACACCCCATATACACCCCATATACACCCTATACACCCCATATACACCCCCATACACCCCATATACACCCCATATACACCCTACACCCCCCACACACCCCATATACACCCCATATACACCCCACACACCCCATATACACCCTACACCCCCCCACACACCCCATATACACCCTACACACCCCCCACACACCCCATATACACCCTAAACACACCCCGTGGAGTCCTGTAGCTCAGTGGTTAGAGCACTCGCTTTGCAAGTGAGAGACCTGAGTTCAATTCCAGGCAGAGGGCGAAACCTTGGGCAAGTTTCCTTACCCCACACAGAGCCCTAATAATAATCCTCCAAAACAAAACAATAATAAATTGGTCATTTTCAATCGACGACTGTTTGTGGGACATTGCTGTGCGCAATTGGCTGCCGCGTTCGCCCACAAATATACAGTCAATTCACTTTACAGTGTGTTCTGTGAAGCGCTTTGGGACGTCCTCCTGACGTGAACAGCGCTATATCAAATGCAAGGATTATTATTATTATTATACACCCTACACACCCCGTACACACCCCGTACACACCCCATATACACTCCATACACACCCCATACACACTCCATATTCACACACCCCTTTACACAGTGAGGGGCGCTGTATAAATCCAGCTGTTGTTGTTACAGACATGGAGCCGCTCGCTGACTGGACCGGTCTATCCCGGGATCGTGGAGTCTGTGGAAGAATTTCGGTTTGTGGAGAGGCTGATCCCGGCCTCCACCGTACCCACCCCCCCTCATCACAGCCACTACCCCACCCCCTCAGGCTGGCAGCCCCCACAAGGTCAGAACCCATGTAGTGACTATGTGTCAGTCGGCTCAGTGCGTGTATGTGTGTGTGTGTGTGTGACCTGCCCTACACTGACCACTGTGTGTTGCGTTCCTCAGACCCGCTCCCTGACTTGCCCTACACTGTGAGGAGATCCCGGATGCACAATGTCCCCGTTTACACAGACATCACCCACGGCAACAGGAAGATGACCATCATCAGGAAAATTGAGGGAGATATTTGGGTAAGGACCACTTCCTGTCTGTCTGCTCTGTCTGCCTCATCTGATCATAAACAATTGTGTATGTGTGTGGAGTGGGGGGGGGGTGCAGTGATATGTGTTTGTACGTGTGTGAGGGCAGATCGCTTTCCGGAGGTAATAATCCCTCAAAGAAAATTTGGTCACTCAATCTACTACTCTTTGTGGGACATTGCTGTGCGCAATTGGCTGCCGTGTTTCACCCACAAAATACACAGTCAATTCAATTTACAATATATTCTGTGAAGCACTTTGAGACGTCTTGACAACATGATAAGGCGCTGTATCAAATGCAAGGATTATTATCATTGCTGTTATTATTACCATTTCTATTGTTTATTATTATTGTTATATTATTATTGTTATTATTACTGTTATATTATTATTGTTATTATTACTGTTATATTATTGTTATTATTATTGTTATTACTGTTATTCTATTGTTATTATTACTGTTATTATTATTATTACTGTTATTATATTATTGTTACTATTATTACTGTTATTATATTATTATTGATCAGGAGCTAGAAAAAGACATCACTGAGTTCCTCACAACAATGACAGGGAAACCACCTCAGGTTCAGGTCAATGAAGTGACGATGAACATTCGCATTAAAGGTTACTTTGATTCCGAGCTGAAATCGTGGCTGATGGAGAAAGGATTCTGACGTCACATCTGGGCTGAAAGACCCGTTTCTGCTCATTGTGTGGAACAGCAAGATCAGCCTGGCCTCGGGTGTGGAAATATCTATTGAAACTGACAACAAAATCAATGATTTCCTTTTGTGTGTTTGTGTGAGTTATTCTATTTTCAAGTCCCCATGTCAAGACTTGGAATCACAGTTGAAGCTGACGATCCAATGCAGTGCTGGACGGTGTTGCTTTGTCAGAGACACCGTCCGTCAGATGAGACGTTAAAACGAGCTTCCACCTGCATGTTCAGGTGGACATTAAAAATCTCCTGCGGCACTATTGGAATAGAGAAGGGAGTTTCTCTCCCTCTCTGTCTCTCTCTCGTCCCCGTGTCAATAATCCCCCAAATAAAATTTGTCGCTCACTCCATAGGTATTTGTGGGAAACTGCTGTGTACACATTGTGCTGTCGTACCTACCTCCAAATACAGTCACTACACTTTACAATATATTCTGTGAAGTGCTTTGAGTTTGTCTCAAGAACCCGTTACGGCTCTGTGTCAAATACATAGATTTTTTATTAATAATAAACAGTGATATTAATGTTTAGATACTCAGTGATTTATTAATTTGGGATAGAAAGTGCGATTGGTATTTGTGTGTCGAGCTGTGAAATGTGACCAGGCAGCTTTGAGTGAGAGAGAGATAGAGAGAGAGAGGTCACGGGGGACAGAGCTCAGAGTGTGAAATAGAGAGGTCACATAGGGTCAGATAGTCTGTGTCATCAGCGAGGGGGGAGGTGTTTCCCGCAGAGAGATCTCCTCATTCTTGGGCTCGCTTTCCTTTTGCATCTTTTTTTTCCAGCTGGAGAGGAAATCACAAGATTGATACCTCGTTATGGTATGGCAACTCATGTTCAGCGGTCAGCAATGTCAGGAGCAGTTTATTTGGCCACCCGGGGGTCTAACACACACGGAAACCAATCTCCATGCTTCAAGAGTCTCCAATCCCAACTGAGATTTCCATTCATCCCATCTACGCTTGGAAATCCCAGAGATAGATTGTTGGGATGGAAGCCTTTGGATTATGGCTGGATCCATCTACATTGTACAGATTAATGTTTTACATTTTTTTGAAGGAATTTCGTTGGGATTTGTTTGTTAGGTCAGGTTGTCAAGGAATACGGGGCAAAGGCGGGTAATTGGAGTTGAGGTACAGATCAGCCATGATCTTATAGAATGGTGGAACAGGCTCAAGGGGCTGATTGGCCTCCTCCTGTTCTATGTCTCACATACCTGCTCTCCACCCCCTCAATCGATTCTGGCAAAGGAATGTTCAACGTTTCCCGGAGGAAAAAGGCCACAATCCCAGCGAGGACGGCAACTCCACCGTATATTGCCATCGGCAAAAAGGAAACGTAATCACCAGTCATCTTCACCAGCGGGGCCACCATGGATCCAATCCTGGCCATCGAACTGACCAGCCCCATCCCTGTCTGCCTGCAGCCGTGCCCAATATAATCAATCAATCAATCAGTCAGTCAATCTATTAACCCACTAGTCAAACAATAATAACAATAATAATATTGGCATTTGGTAAAGCACTTTATCATGTCTTCAACCCTGTCTTAAGATGGGGTCTTATTATCAGGAGTTAGTGTGCGACAGCGCCATGTGTCTTGTTATCAGGAGTTAGTGTGTGATAGGGACACGGCTACACACCTGACCACAGTAGGGTACAGTTCTCCTGCGTGTAAATAGGCGCAGCTGAAACTAGCTGCAAGACATCCTTTCCCAATCGCAGCGAATGAGGTGCGTAAATTGCTCATTTCTGGAGGAGAAATGGACAATAATAATAATATAATAATAATAATCCTTGCATTTGATATAGCGCTTTTTTTCACGTCTTCTCGATGTCTCAAAGAGCTTCACAGAATATGCTGTAAAGTGAATTGACTGAATATTTGTGGGCGAAACGCGGCAGCCAATTGCGCACAGCAGTGTTCCACGAACGGTCGTGGATTAAAAATGACCAATTTATTATTGTTTTGTTGGAGTGATTATTATCAGGCGTGTGGAGTAAGGAAACTTGCCCAAGGTTTCGCCCTCTGCCCGGAATTGAATCCAGGTATCTCGCTTGCAAGACGAGTGCTCTAACCACTGAGCTACAGGACTGCACAAGGACAATGAGCATAACTGGCAATAATAACAATAACAACAGTAATAATAATCCTGACTTTTGACCCAGCGCATTATCACATCTTTGAGATGTTTCAAAGCGCTTCACAGGATACACTGTAAAGTGTAGTGAATGTATATTTTGTGGGCAAAACGCAGCAGCCAATTTGAACACCCTCAGCCTCTTGTGAGGAAGAAGAGAAGGTAGTGGATGGAGGGAGGGAGAATGAAGGGAGAGGGTGGGTGGAGGGAAGGAGGATGGATGGGTGGAGGGAGTATGAAGGGAGGAGGGAGTGAAGATGGAGGGAGGAGGGAGGGAGCGTGACCCCCTACCTTGAGGAATGAAGATGTTGATGATGATAATGGTGCCGGCCAAGATGAGAGACGAGCCCTGAGTAAACCGTCGCCCAATCAGACTCATGGTAGCGACACCAACCAATTTAGCTGGAATATCAACAGCAGCGAAGATCATCTGAATCAGATAAATGTTCACCCCGAAACCTTGCAGGTCTATGGATAATCCATAATAGGCGAAACTCACTGAGAACCTGGGTGGAGAACAGAACGTAAGATGAAAGAAGACCAAGGACCATCTCCACTATCCTAGCCTTTGCTTGAAATGTGTCCCAAACAATGGAGTCCTGTAGTATAGTGATTAGTGAGAGGACCCGGGTTTGATTCCCAGGCGGGTCAGGGCGAAACCTTAAGCAAGTTTCCTTACTGCACACACACGCCTCTGTTTACCAGCAGTAAGTAGGAACCTGGTTTAGTCGATCGGCGGATCGCTTTCCGGAGATAATAAACCCTTCAAATAAATGTTGGTCACGCAATGCTCGACTGTGTGTGGGACACTGCTGTGCAAACACTGCCACTACACTTTACAGTATATTCTGTGAAGCGCTTTGAGACATGTCAACGATGTGATAAGGTGCTGTATTAAATGCAAGGATTATTATTATAATTATTATAGTTTGGGACACGACATGTCTCGTGACTGCCAGGATAGTGGACGGCAAACTGGATGGAACTTGTCTTCTTTTGTCTAGTAATTCTTATGTTCTCAGGCCAACAACTTACCAAACTACCATCGTGCAACAGGCCGTCCTTCGCATGACGGGGGTGTGGAACAGGTCGGTCACACTGTAACCAGTCTTGCATTTTGAAAGTTCTTTTTCCATATGTGACTTAACAATCTGTGGGGAAATACAACCATCATATAATAATAATAATAATGCTTGCATTTGATATAGTGTCATTGAGACATCTCAAAGTGCTTCACTGTAAAGTGTAAATTTACTGTGTATTTTTTGTGGGCAAAACACACCAGCCAATTGCACACAGCAGTGTCCCACGAACAGTTATAAGAATAAGAATAATCCTTGCATTTGATATAGCGCTTTTCACATCTTCTCGACGTCTCAAAGTACTTCACAGAATATGCTGTAAAGTGAATTGACAGAATATTTATAGGCGAAACACGGCAGCCAATTGCGCACAGCAGTGTCCCACAAACAGTCGTGGATTAAAAATGACCAATTTATTATTGTTTTGTTTTGGAGGGATTATTATTAGGCTCTGTGTGGAGTAAGGAAACTTGCCAAGGTTTCGCATGGAATTGAACCCAGGTCTCCGCTTGCAAAGCGAGTGCTCTAACCACTGAGCTACAGGACTCCACCTGAGCTACAGCACTGATTGCAATACCACAAGTGAAACCAATACAACACGGTTTTACAGCTCAAATAGGTGGTTCCTATTGGTGACCGAGACTTCACGGAGAAACACGAGTATAAGACAGTGACTGGAGGATTGAGGATTGAATTCTCTAAATAGAGAATTTAGAAGGAACTTCTTCAGACAGAGGGCAGCACTATGCAGAACTCACTCCCACAAGTGGCAATTGAAGCAGATAATACAGATAGATTTACATCACTATAATAACCCCTGAAGCTCTCAGCCCCTGAAGTTCGCAGCCCCTGAAGCTCTCAGCCCCTGAAGCTTTCGCCCTGCCTGGAAGGACATTGTGTGATCAACATTTATTTGAAAGCGGTCCGTCGATCAACTAACAACCAGGTTCCTACTTACTGCTGGTTAACAAATTTGCCCACAATTCCAGTTGCGGTTTGAGTGAACACATTATTATTATTTATTAATTTTGGTAGGATTATTACTGGGAATTGAACCTTGGTCCTCTCGCTTTAATTATGCTCTGATCACTATGCTAGATGCTGGAAGCAGGAGAGGAATGCGAAACGTGACTGACCGACCCACCCACTCACCCACCCACCGACTCACCGCGGCTGTGAGTTTGCTGCCCTCGGCCTCCCTGCCATTCAGCCTGGCCACTCGCTTCAGCTGGTTCACGGCCACATCGGCTTTGTCGTTCATTATCAGCCATCGTGCCGACTCCGGGAACCACCTGCCAGGGATCGAGGGGTTAACAACGAAGGCACAGACACAGGACACCTCCCTACCTCTCCCACCTCCTTACTCCCCTACCCACTACCCACTGCTCCCGTTCAGCTGGCTCCAGCCTCCTGCTTGTCTCTCGCGCTCTCCATTCCACCATCGCCGGTTTTATGGAATTCTCAGTTGGATTTGGAGACCCTGAAGCTCCATGATGGGTGTCCGTGAGTTTTAGTTATTGCTGAGTGAGATTAGGCTGCTCTCCCCCAACAACAACAACAACAGACATCTACACAACTCCTTTTACATCAGAAAAATGTACCCGGGGGGGTGGAGGGCATGAAGGGTGGGGGTAGGAGGGTGGGGGCAAGTGGGTGGGGAGATAGGAAGGTGGGAGCAGGAGGGTGGGGGCAGGCGGTTGGGGGTAGGAGGGTGGCCGAAGGCACCATCGAAGAAGAGGGTATTCAGATAGGACCTAAAGGTGGCAAGAGAGGGGGTAATGCAAGGGATTGCGGGATAGAGTTTGGGGGCAGAGATGCTGAATGCCCGACCACCAATGGTGGGGTGGGAAGTGCGGGGACCTGAAACAGGCTGGTGTCCGCCAAGCAGAGGGAGCAGACAGGCTGATCTGGGATGATTAGGTCAGAGAGGTGGGGGGAGCAAGACCTTGGAAGGCTCTTGAAGATAAGAACAAGGGTTTTGTACTTAATTCTCTGTGGGATGGGGAGCCAGTGAAGCCGGGCAAGAACGGGGTTGATAGTCTCCCGGAGCCTGATGCAGGAGAGGACACGAGCTGCAGAGGTTCTGAATGATCTGCAACTTATGGAGGGAAGAGTTGGGAAGTCCAGTGAGCAGGCAGTTGGTGTAGTCAAGCCGGGAAGTAATGAAACCACAGATCAGGGTCTTGGCGACCTGCGGTGAGAGGCAGTGTTAATGGCTGACATTACCAGGAGTATAGGAAGTAGATGAAGAAGGGGGCGGACACTGCGAACTGTAGCCAACGCCAATTCCTTAGTGCGTACGCCAAGCCAACCAGGAGGAACTGCCCAATCGTGTAACTGTAATTATTCAGCGTTGCCACAGACGTCCGCACTTTAGTTGGAATCCATTCAACCGCTGTCGGGAGTTCAGGAAATCAGGAAAGCGTTATTAATAATAATTATAATAATAATAATCCTTGCATTTGTTACAGCGCCTTATCATTTCGCCCACAAATATACGGTCAATTCACTTTGCAGTATATTCTGTGAAGCGCTTTGAGACGTCTCGAAGACGTGAAAAGCGCTATATCAAACGCAAAGATTATTATATTATCATCTTCGAGACAACTCAAAGCGCTTCACAGGTTACAGTGTAATTGACTGTGTATTTTGTGGGCGAAACGCGGCAGCCAATTGCGCACAGCAGCGTCCCCACAAACAGTCGTGGATTGAAGTGACCACATTATTATTGTTATTTTTGGAGGGATTGTCCAATTGTCATGAATTCTGCGAAACGCTTTGAGATGTCTCAAAAGACGTGATGAGGCACTGTGTCAAACGTAAAGGTTATTATTATGATTAACACCACAAACCAGGTAAACGATTGGCGAGTTTTACTCACTGAGAGAGAACGAGTTGAGGATGAGTCCAGACACAGCCACTCCGCACATGAACCTCCAGAAACAGAACAGGGGGAAGCTCGAGGAGAAGGAGCCACAGGTTCCGGTGATCGCCAGCTGTAAGTGAGACCAGAGCAGGATAGGGCGGCGTCCAAACCTGCGGAGAAACACGACAACACGTCAGCGAGAGAGGCCAGGGTTCCCACCTCGCCTTCCCCTGTTTACACGGTCACATTGCGGAGTGTCGTGATTAGAGCACTTGCCTGGTGCTCACCTGTCAGACATTTGGCCCATTACGATGGCTCCCACCAATACTCCGCTCATGTAGATAGATTGTGACATCTGTTTCAGAGATCGCTGATCACACACCAGGTCCCACTGTCGGGGCGAGAACGGCTCAGAGTCACTGACAACACAACAGTCTTACACACTGGGTGAGGAACAATCACCTGATCGCTTTTCTTTTGCCCGGCCGGGTGTCTGACACACACACACACACGGAAACCCATCACTGACCAGCCGGGTGTCTGACACACGTGGAAACCCAGCACTGTGGTTAAAGAGACTCCAAACCCAACTGAAAATTCCATGCATCCCACCTACACATAGAAATGCCAGAGATAGGACGCCCCCCTGCTTACTTAATTCCGGAGAGCATTAGGTGCAGGTTGTGCATTGGGGGTAACTGCTGGGGTCTAACCAGCTAAATCCACACACAGCTTGGCCATCGAGAGAGAGAGGGTCAGAGAGTGCTGTCTGTCTGGCCAAGCTTTCCCGCTGCTTGTCCAGCTGGAACCACCCGACCTGTCAAATCTGATCACTTGTACATGTTCTCTATGTGATAACAAAGACTTTGTGTGTCAGCCTGGCTCAGTCACTCACACTCTCGCCTCCTGGTCAGAAGGTTTGAGCCTCCACGCCAGGAATCACAGTCTAAGCCCAGGCTCCAACCCCGTGCTGGGGCGGGTGGTGTCGCGATGTCAGAGACGCCGTCCTTCGGGTGAGGCTTTAAACTTTAAACTTTCCCCGTCTGCCGAGTTGGGTGGTTGTTAAAGATCTCCCACGGCGACTGCTTGAAAAGAGAAGGGAGTTTCTCTCTCTCTCTCTCCCAGTGTCCTGGCCGACATTCCCCAGATACAAATTGGTCACTCACTTCATGGCTGTTTGTGGGAAATTGCAATCACACAGTCACTACACCTCGCAGTGTATCCTGTGATAACAGTATAAACTGGGTCCTCAGCCTTAAACTACTACTATTAATAATCCTTGTATTTGATATGGTGCCTTTGAGATGCCTCAAACAGTCGTGGATTGAGTGACCAAACTATCAATTATTGTGAAGAGATTATTACACCAGGAAAGCGATCTGTCAATTGACTAACAAGTGGGTTCCTACTTATTGCGAGTGGTGTGGGTGTGTGGAGTAAGGAAACTTGCCCAATGTTTGGCGCTGACATGCCCGGGAATTGAACCCAGATCTTCTCGCTTGTGATGTGAGCCACTGATCTGCAGGGAACTCATGAAGACCTTGAACATAGATGCTCTCTCCTACCTCGGTAATGATGGTGGTGACTGTGACACACACTCACACAGACACACACACACCTCGCTGATGATGCTGCTGGTGACGTCCCCGTGGCTGTACAGCCATCCGTCTGTACACGGCCGTGTGGTGGAGCTGCCGTCCCCGTGGGTGCGGTTGGGATCCAGGAATTGCCACTGAGGCTCAGCAAACAGCCGGCACCTCTCTGGGCGGCCCTCCCTGTCCAAGGGGATGAACACCGGCAGGAGCAGCTCCTCGGCCAGCACTTTGCCCGTCACGTTCCCGGGACTTTGCAGGGAAGCGTTGCCGAGGGCGTCCGCACGGATACGGCAGCGGTGATCAGGAACGACAGCCACAAAGTTCTGGAGCAGGACATGACTCATGCTGGTCAAAGCCGGCAATAATGACAACAAAGTGTATGTGATTTGGAACTTCCCAAAACCTCCAACATCGTCCAGCAGATCATCAAACCCCATCGATCTGTCACTCAGCTTCAGCTGCTACAGACTGAGAGACGCTGAGAGAGAATGTGTGTGTCTGCGTCTGTGTGTGTGTGTGTGTGTACTTGTCTGTGTGTCTGTGTGTGTGAGACTGATAGAGAAGGACTGAGTGTGAGAGAGAGAGCATGTGAGTGAGAGAGACTAACTCAGTCGCTGAGAGAGACAGAGAGAGAGAGAGAGGCTGAGAGTCGGTGTTGACTGAGTGACGGAGCAGGTTACAGAGACTTATTGGCCGAGACGTTGTGTGTGTGTATTTGGCTTTTCAGAGAATTGTTGGATTTAAGCAATGGCTAATCTCGCCGTCACACAGTTACTTTTCTCTCGGAATCTCAGCTAAACTTTAGCATTAATGGAATTGTCTTGAATGTTCCTGGAGGCAGCAGAGGACAGGACGGGGAGTTGGGGTTGGTGGGGCAGAGGGTGGTTCTCACTGACAGTCAAAGGTTCAAGTTTCACCAGCACTGGGTGAGAAATCCAGGTCCATCGATGTCGGATTCCTTCAGGTTAAACATCGCTAGATATTGTTAACTAGCGGACACCTTATCATTGTGTGCAGGTCAACATATCTGTAACATCCTGACTTAGAAGTGAAAGGTTTCTTTACTAATAACTGAGCCAGGCTCACACACACACACACACACACACACACAAGTACCTACAAGCCAACAATAGTAATAGTAGCAATAATAATCCTTGCATTTGACCCGGCGCCTCATCACATCTTCGAGACGTCTCAAAGCACTTTGCAGAATATACAGTGAAGTGTAGTGACTGTATTTTGTGGACGAAACGCGGCAGCCGATTGTGCACAGCAGCGTCCCCACACACAGTTGTGGAGTGAATGAGCAATTTTATTTGGGAGATTGTTGGGCAGACACTGGGAGAGAGAGAGAGAAAGAGAGAGAAACTCAATTCTCTTTTCGAATAACGCCGCAGAAGATCTTCAGTGTCCACTTGAACAGTCGGCCAAGGGAGTGGGTCTAACATCTCATCCGAAGGACAGTAGATCTGACAATGCACCCCCCTCCCCCAGCATTAGAGCATCAGCTTAGGCTGTGTGTTTCCACGTCCAGGTGTGGGGGCTTGAATCCACAACTTTCTGGACTCAGACACGCCTACCTTGGTGACGATGGTGGCTGCCACATAGACACACACACACACAGACTTCGGTGATGATGATGGTGGTGGTGACACAGACAGACACACGCAGATACATACACGGACACGCACAGACCTCGCTGATGATGGTGCTGGTGACGTCCCCGTGGCTGTACAGCCATCCATTCGTACACGGCCGTGTGGTGGAGCTGCCGTCCTCGTGGGTGCGGTTGGGATCCAGGAATTGCCACTGAGGCTCAGCAAACAGCCGGCACCTCTCCGGGCGGCCCTCCCTGTCCAGGGGGATGAACACCGGCAGGAGCAGCTCCTCGGCCGGCACTTCGCCCGTCACGTTCCCGGGACTTTGCCGGGAAGCGTTGCCGAGGGGCGTCCGCACGGATACGGCGCGGTGATCAGGAACGGCAGCCACGAAGTTCTGGAGCAGGTTGTGACTGGCCATCATTAACACCGGCAGCGCCAGCAACGTGACGTGAACCATCTGGAACCTTCCAGTGCTCCCCACCATCTCCAGCAGGTCAGTAAATCCCATCGTGGAAAACCTCTGCGTCAGCGGCAGAACAGAACAGAGCATCAGTTGAGATTGTTACTGAGAGACACTGTTACTGGAGTGAGATAGTTACTGAGAGACATTGTTACTGAGAGACACACTGTTACTGGGAGACATGTTACTGAGAGACATTGTTACTGAGAGATTGTTACTGGAGAGACATTGTTACTGGAGAGATTGTTACTGAGAGACATTGTTACTGAGAGACATTGTTACTGAGAGACATTGTTACTGAGGGACACTTACTGAGAGAGATTGTTACTGAGAGACATTGTTACTGAGGAGAGACCACTGTTTACTGAGAGACACTTGTTACTGAGAGACACTGTTACTGAGAGACATTGTTACTGAGACGATTGTTACTGGAGAGATTGTTACTGGAGAGACATTGTTACTGAGAGATTGTTATGAGAGACTGTTACTGGAGAGGACACTGTTACTGAGAGGACATTGTACTGGAGGAGACATTGTTACTGAGAGACACTGTTACTGAGAGACATTGTCACTGAGAGACATTGTCACTGAGAGACATTGTTACTGGGAGAGATTGTTACTGAGAGACATTGTTACTGAGAGATTGTTACTAAGATTGTTACTGAGAGATTGTTACTGAGAGAGATTGTTACTGAGATTGTTACTGAGACATTGTTACTGAGAGAGATTGTTACTGAGAGATTGTTACTGAGAGACATTGTTACTGAGGGACATTGTTAATGAGATGTTACTGAGATACATTGTTCCTGAGAGAGTTATACTGAGATGTTACTGAGATTGTTACTGGAGATTGTTAGATTGTACTGAGAGATATTCTTATTGAGAGACCCTGTTACTGAGATTGTTACTGAGAGAGAGATTGTTACTTAAAGAAATAGTTTACTGACAGAGACAGTTACCGAGAGAGAGAGAGACTTTACTAACTCCGAGGCTGTTGATGACCGAGAGACTGTTGTGGACTGAGAGTCGGTGAATGAGAGAAGAGAGGAGAGAGAGAGCTGAGAGTTCGGTGTTGACTGAGTGACGGAGCAGGTTACAGAGACTTATTGGCCGAGACGTGTGTGTGTGTATTTGGCTTTTCGGAGAATTGTTGGATTTAAGCAATGGCTAATCTCGCCGTCACACAGTTACTTTTCTCTCGGAATCTCAGCTAAACTTTAGCATTAATGGAATTGTCTTGAATGTTCCTGGAGGCAGCAGAGGACAGGACGGGGAGTTGGGGTTGGTGGGGCAGAGGGTGGTTCTCACTGACAGTCAAAGGTTCAAGTTTCACCAGCACTGGGTGAGAAATCCAGGTCCATCGATGTCTGTCCAAATCCTCTCAAGAGACAATCATGAGCTAACGTTATCGCGAGGACTTATAACTGTCTGTGACTGTTATCAGCCTCTGAGAGAGACTGTCTGGGTCAACATGATATGATGCAATTTGAAGTCCTTTAGTATTTGGAGCTCCCGCCTCGCAAGCGAGAGGACCGGGCTCCATCCAGTTCTGTTTATGGGACATGTGGCTGTTTGCGGACACTGATGTGTGCAGTCGGCTGCCGCGTTTCACCCACGGAATACAGTCTCCTTTGTGTCACAGTGTATCCTGTGAAGCGTTCTGAGACGTCGTTCCGACATGAGAAGTCACCATATTGAATACAAGGATTATTATTATTATAAGTACAAGTCGCTGTTGTCAGCCCGGACTGTGAGCTGGAGAGCTGCTGACGTGGGGGGTGGGTTGAACCCACAAACTGTCTCCGAGTTGGAGGTAAAAGCACCAGTGACCGAGCCAGGCTCCTTCTGACCTGTGATCCATATTTACAGGACTTTAATGATCAGTTTTGTTTGGTTAGGGATAACGTTAAAGATTAAAACATTCCTGCTCCTTGTGTAACGCTAATGTGTTGCTATGGTTTTTTCTACTTAGAAACAATAAAACCCCCTCACCTTCGCTCCCCTCCCCCACCTCCCCCCCCCCCACATTCTCGCTCCCCTCTTTCTCATGTGTATAATCATGGGGTCACGGAGCAGGAGAGGACACGAGCTGCAGAGTTCTGGATGATCCATATATGAACTTTCGAACATGCGCTTCTAGAGCGCGGCATGACATATTCTCTACGAAACGATACTCAGCAGAACGCAGTGGAATATATAA